AGATTCTACATATTACAATCAACAACAATGAAGAATATGAAACCTTAATTGAAAACCCTAATCTACTAGATAGAAAAACAAGAGAAAATTGTGTAGTGTGTATGTGTTATGTAATGAATGAGGAACCAAGTTGCTTAGGAAGTGTTTGGGTCAAATGGGTTAAAGAGATCCACGCGTCAACCCGACTATCTTTAAATAAAACGAGACACAACCCAAATTAATCTGCGCATTTACACAAACTACCCAAGAACAAAATGTAACACAAAAACAGTCTGAAATATTTTACCCTTTAAACTTGCACTTTCACAACAATGTTAAGTTTGTACTACTTCACATATTTCAACACCCCTCCTCAAACTTAACATTTTTATAAAACATTTAATCTTTATTAAATGGATTAATCAAACCAATTCTATTCAACATTTAAAACACCATTTGCAATTTTTTCCCTAACAAAATGCAAATCTATTTCAAAGTGTTTAGCGTTTTCAAGAAAAACTGGATTCAATGCCAATTTAATAGTATATTCATTGTCACAAAATACTTTCATAGGAGTCAAATTTCCGCAGACAGTTCCGGATACATAAATATTTGTTTATGCGTATTGTAGAATGAGTATATGCGGCAACGCCCGAACGTAAGAGGTACATTAGGCTTTGTTCCAATTCAAAAATGTATTGATGTATTTTGTGTACCGCCTAAGAAAGTCTTCATGAATTTTGCATAGCTGTCATGTCTTTATACAGTCCACGATATTTGCGCCGTCCTACTTCTAGTGACATACAAAAGTTGTATGCTCATCATGCCAATGTGCATGGTTTACCTGAGATGTTACAAAGTTTAGATTGCATGCACTGGAGATGGAATTTGTGCCTAAATGCATATCATATCATTATCCTACGGTCGTACTTGAAGGTGTAGCCTCACAGGATTTGTGGTTCTGGCATGCCTATTTTGGTAGTCTCGGTTCAATTAATGACGTTAATATTCTCAATAACTCATCAATATTCAACAAGGTGTATGATTGTACTGCCACATATTCGTCATTTGTACTCCGAGGCACTACGTATAAATTTGGGTACTATCTTGTAGATGGGATCTATCCGGGCCTTTCTGTTTTCGTTAAAAGTTTGTCATGTCCCGATGGCCCTCAAAAGGTCCATATTTAAGAGAGTCCAAGAAAAAACGAGAAAAGATATCGAACAAGCGTTTAGAGCACTTAAAAATTGTTAGAAGATAGTTACGAAAGCATCCACGTTTCGTGATGTTTCTACTATGAAAGAGGTGATGTACACGTTTATCATATTGCATAATATGATACTAGAACATCAATGAAATGCGATATGTGTGTACGACGAGAATGAATTCATCCCCGAGACAACCACTTGAATATGATGGTAAAAAATGGATACATAGAATGAGGATAGCCAATAATGCAGTAATCCACACCGATCTTCACCGTCATTCGACCGATTATCTTTGGACGATGGATAATCTTAATCTAAACATGCCACCGAAAGACAAATTGGAAGACCAGTTTTCTGAGGAAGACCCGTTGCTTTAGTATGTTTTTTTATGAAGTGTGTTTTAGTTACGAAATGTCTTTTTTTATGTATTAAGTCGTCTTTCCAGGTATTAAGTTGTATTTGTCGGTGTTAAGTCGTGTTTGTCGTGGTTTGAATTATTAACTCGTGTTTCAAGGTATTTCAATTTTTTATTTATTGTAACTTTTTAAATTCAATATGAAATGTTTGTGTTTTAAAAAATATAATTTATTTGATATTAAGTGTTTGAGGTTTAAAAAAGTAAAATTTATTTAATATTAATTATTTGTGTTTTTGAAAAAACTATAACTTAATTAAATTAAAAAAAAAACAATAGAGTGCTAGGAGTGTTACCACTCCCTACTAATGCTAAGAATTAGATGCTAAGAGAGAAAAATAACGTAACAATAAAAAATGATGCCTATCAAATGCTAAGAATTAGATGATAAGAGAGAAAAATTACATGACACTCAAAAAAATGATGTGACAATATGCTAAAAGTGAGTTTTTGATCATATTGGTATTTTTAAAAATTTTATTTACCCAATGGGTATACTTTTAAACATATTTACAATTCACGGGTTTTAGCAATTAAGTAAAAAAACACCGTGCCCTTTTTTCTTACCATCGTTCTTTCTCCCAAAATAGCTTGCACACTTCCGGTTCTTCTTCTGTTGGGGAGTCCAACTACGACGCCGAGGATTCCAGCGGCGACGCCGGCAACACTACAGCAGCGACGCCGGCGATGACTACATTCCATCGCTGGTACGTTTTTTTTTTTTTTTTTTTTTTGCTTCAATTACAAGTTTGTTTATGAACAACAACTTCGATTTTAAGGCTGTAATCTTCAGTTTAGGTTTAATTTATGTTTTGTTTTTGCTTCAATCACAGGCTGTAATCTTCAGTGAGTTCGGATTTTCATTTGTACATTTGTACATTTGTGAGTTCAATTTCTTATTTGTTTATGCTTCAATCACAGGATGTAATCTTCAATGAGTTCGAATTTTAATTTCTAAGTTTGATTTTGGTTTTGTTTTTGCTTCAATCACATGTTTGTTTGTTTGTTTGATAGGCTGATGTTGTTTGATTGTTGATTTCTGATTTGTATTGGACTATGAATGTTTTGTTTTTGCTTTTGCTTTTGCTGATGTTGTATTTGATTTTTGTTTTGTTTTTGTTTCAATGACATGTTTTGATTCAATAACAGATCATGATTTATGTATTCTATTTCTAGTTTCTTTTTTTCCTGATTTTATGTATTTGATTGTAGATGGATGTTAATGTCATATTAGACATTGTTTAAAATGATGATTTCTACTCAATCTCTCAAGTTGTTATTGCAAGCAATGTAATGACAAATGATAATGAAGTTGCTGCAAATGGTTTGTTAGTATATGAAATTGGAGAAAAAGAGGGAATTGGAGAAGAAGATAATGAAGAATCATTGTTTAAAGAATTTTCCCCACTACCTCATGAAGTGTATCGGCACCGTCATTGTTTAAAGAAGTGTATTGGTCACAATCATTGTTTATATCTTATTTTTTATCTTCTTTTTTGCAGATAAAAGTTACCGAATCTAGTTATTTCACATGTTTGTTTTTTTATTTTCGTTTATCTTTTATAACAAACAATTATTGGTTTTGTACTTAAAATATCGTACTTATGATTTTTTTTTAATTTTTTTTTATTTAGTTTAAGATGATGTTTGTTGGTTTAGATTTAAAAAGTTGTTTGTTGTTTAGATTAAAAAAGTTGTTTCTTGGTTATTGTAAGAAGCTTTGTTAGTTAAAATGGTATTTGCAAAAAAAGTACTAAAAATTAATAACAAAAACTAAAAAAAAACTGAAAAGATTATATTAAAAAAATCAAACAATAAGTTAAAGGGAAGATTTTGTGTGAATATGAATTTGGTCTTTTTTTTTTTTGGTTCATTTGTGTGAAAAAAGGAATGGAACATGACATATATAGAAAAATGCTAAAAATCCTATACAGTAAATATGTTTAAAAGTATATCCATTGAATAAATAAGTTTTTTAAAAACGTCAAAAACTCTGTTAAAAATATTACGACTCTCCTAACCTTATTATCAACAAGCTTACACTTGCCCTTATCCTATACAAAGATCCTCACAAGCTCAACCTCACCCTAATCCAAAACTCAAGGTTCCACTCTAAAATTCTCACCTTCCATTAACATGTTAAACAAACCTGACATGCACCATCGTCCAAGTTAAATCCATGCAATACAGTTTTTTATTATTTTTATTTTATATATATATATTTTTCAACCTTTCCTAAACCCACGCAAATACCTCACAACCCACCTTTAACTTAAAAACGCCCAATACCTTAAACACAAATACCCAAAACCATTTTACTTGTTCCTTAAGTAAACTAAAACCATACCCACCTCATCCCATATCGCTAAAAAACTAAACCCAATCCCCCAAATCAACCTATAAATACCTTATGAATCTATCACTTTCAAATCATTCCTCAATATAAACCTTTAAAAATTATTTCCATGCTTGGAATTAATTTCTCACCCCTCAACGAACCTTCAAACAAAATCCAAACCATAATCCCATCCCTCTCTCTTCTAAACTCTAGTCTCTCCTTTTCCCATCACAATAAATCACAACCAATGAGTTCTTTCATGATCAATCATGCAATTACTTGCGGTTAGATTTTTATGAAATTTGACTAGCTTATCTTTGAGTATTACTTGGGTTATTATGAACGTTGAATTTTACTATTTTGATTTGTTTTATAATCATTCTTATAGTAGTAAAAAAATCATTTGGTGTTTATTGTTTTAATCCGTAAGACATTGTATTTTATATAATTGCATGTGTCCGAGCTCACTTTATATAAGTAATGGAAACACGTAATTGATGTAATATACGATGTCCCTAAGATGCGGTAATATTCTTGACGTTGATAGTACATTACCTTAATTGAAGGCACTTTATTGTGTGTCCATTATTTGCTCTAAGCTTAAGGAGTAATACAAACAATTTGAAGGATGTATGTTGTGCCTAAGATTCGAGAATCTATATTTTCATAAAATATATAATTAGGTCTATGTGATCTTATCCAATAAAATCCAAAGCAAGGACATATTCAGTTCTTTTGAGTTTTGACACTAATTTCTGTTTTTCGAAAAACAAAACTGCAAAATTAGCCCATGTGGTATTCAAAAAACTTTGGATAGGGTTTAAAAAATTTTCAACTTGCATGGATGGTCCAAAATCAAGGTTTTCTTTTGGTTTTGGTCCTAAAATTAAGAAAATTTTGTAGTTTTGGTCCATGGAGCACTGAATTGACTGTTTTGCCATTTAAATTTCTTTTTTGTATTTTTTTTAACATTTTCTATTTTGTAAATAATAATAAAAAAAGAAATTATGCTGGCCCAACCCATAACTCCACCCCTCCCCCCCTCCCCCTCTCTCTCTCTCTCTCTCTCTCTCTCTCTCTCTCTCAACACCAACCATTTCATCTTCTCCGCTGAACTCCCCCACACCTAGTTGTTGGCCCCGTTGATGCAACACCAATCACAATATTCACCCAAAAAACTACAACTTTTTAATTTGGAAGGTTTAAACATCAAGTTATAAAACACCATAGGCAAAATGAAATCCAAAGGTATGCCTCCAAATGCTCCAAACAATGCCATTATATCTCCAAAAATGGCAACATTGCAGCCAAAGTTGTTGCAATGATCACAGATAACGATCTTGATATCAATTGAGGCACAAATTTTCTTACAGAAAGCTAACCCTTCCCAGGATCTGTAAATTTACATTCAAAAACCACGTTTTATGGTTGCAAGTGAACCTGCATCAACAACATCAACAGAAGTTGTTAAGATCTAACTTTTTGTTCAAAAGTACAAGTGATTGTAGCATAACAACATGTCTAATGGAGAACTTACCAATGTACAAGCTGCAACTTGCAAAACAGTGAAGGAGTTTGTCATAAGAAGAAACCATTTGGGCAACAATGGGTTTGAACCCACCATGAAATTTTGAAGAACAGAGCTCTGTACTTTGTTACCGAATGCCCAATACCCAGAAATCCCAACACTGAAATAGTTCGAGATCACAACCGTGTAACACACCAGTAGCCCTTTGAACATTTTTCCCTTCACCGGCGCTGCTATTGTCGCCTGTTCTAACATAAAATATGAACTATTAGTGTTGAAATTGTAGGGATTGATGAGAAGCATATATGGAAAAAAGGAATATACAAACAAATACATGTGTTTCCAGGATGATTCCATTTCTGTAAGTCGTACAGATGATCGAAATCGTATTTAAAAATCCAAAAACTCGGTTTATTCCAACTCCGGTCAAGGAATAGCTCTTCGGAAGTGCTTTCTTCGAATCCCCTGCAAAAAGTTCTTTGTTATCAACATCAATGGAGAACACGAGAAGCAAATAAAATGAGATACCTGGTTAAGGTTTAGGGTTTCCTACCAATGTAGATGGCGCCAACAGTTCTGCTTCAAGGTAGCTTGAACGAACTCATCAGAGAAAAGAAGAAATAGTCAAAGATAGATAAAGAAAGTCGAAGAGACAGAGGGGAGAAAGAAGGGAAGGGTACTGATGAAGGGTGTGGGGTAGGGGATTTTTTTTTTCTTTTTTTTTTAAACTATTAAAATATAAAAGAAATATATAAAATGTAAAAAAGAAATAATAAAAGCAAAATAGTTCTTTCAACTTTTTTAGGACCACTCCCTCCAAAATGTTAAAAATTAGATGCTAAAAAAGAAAAATGATGTGTCAAGGTGTTAGGAGTGTTACCACTCTCCTAGCCTAAGAATCAATGGACTAGACACTTTGGATAATTTATGAGTAATGGTTGATGACCAGATTCATGTAATGTGATATAAGCTCTTTATCAAACAAATTGCTACCTGATGATGGCTTTCAACGATGGATTCCTTAAGGCCAAGTTTACCGAACATTTGTAATCCTCTTGGACGTACAGCCTTAAAATTCTGATGTTAGACTACCGTTTTGTGTTTTTGAATAATCTTAGATATATTTTTAAATATTATTTGAAATATATTTGGTAACAGTATTTACATTAAATGTTTTTTTTTTTAACAATCAAATAAATAATTTACAGTTGAATTAAGTCAACTTTTGAAAGGCATGCAACCAATCAATATATAGGTGAGATCCCTTGATACCTCATACTTTTATTATGAGAATCCAAGAACTAAAGGTGAAGCGTTTGATAAAAAATTAATCATTAACGGCATGATCATCATCTTATTAATCTCATTTAAAGATTAATTTTTTGTGTTATTGGAAATATTAATAAAACTGTCCAAAAATTAACAAAATAAATCAAATTTTCGGATTTTTTGTATAAATAATAATTTTCAACTTTCAAGAAATGCATATTTTAATTTTTTTTAGTAAACATGAATTAAAAAAAAAGGAAAAAAAATATATTCTTTTTAAAATTGAAAAAAAAATTACTTTTTTTCAAAAAAAAATTGCAATATTCTTTTAAACTAATAAATTTTTAAAAATAGTAAATTTTTTATGAAACTAGAATATTTTTTAAAAAATAAACTATAATTTTTTTAACCAAAAAAAATCAATGTTTTAGATGCATAAAGGTTTTTTTGTATACTTATCACTACAAGAAATAAAGGCATTAGTGACGGTAACATTAGCTGCGGCACACACTACTAGCGACGACACTATTTGCGGGTTACGTGTCGCCGCTAATATTGTGTGTCTCCACTATTGGTGGAAAACCACGATCTGCGTCAAATAGTCAAATAGTCAGAGTAAACCTTGTCCATTGATCTGGACCTAATCCAACGGCTGTTAACGGAGTTCGCGTAAAGTTTTAGTGGTGACGTCAATTGCAGCGACATCGTCGTCGCTAATGCTCCAAAAAAAACGGTGTTTTTTTCCTTCCTGACGTGTCGCTGCTAAAACCCTATTGTCGCCGCAAATAATATTTGGGATCTACCATCCGACAATGCTTGTGTCCAAAATGCTTAGAGTGACTCTGTCCAAAATGTCGACAATGTGGAGGCTGGAAATGTTGACATAGTTCAAAACAACTCTTCATCCAATGCTAGACTTTTTATCGACTTCTCACAATACTTTCAAAACAATGTTGACGTAGCTCAAAACAATGTTGATTATGATGATGAGGACGAGACTGAAGTACCTCCGCCAACAGGTAGAATCGATAATGATTCCGAGGAAGAGATTGATTATGGTGTTGACGATTCTGATTATGATGCTGATGAAGAATACATTGAAGTATTTGAGGGAGATTTTGATTACAAAAATCATATGTTTTTTTTTGTAATATAAACTTTATTTGAAGTATAACTTTTATTCATATTGTTTGTCTAACTTTTATTCATGTTGTTTGTCTATATTGTACATCTTATAATTTTGCAGGGTAACTAATTTTTATTTATATTGTACATCTTATAATTTTACAGGCTATATATGAGGTTTAGTTGGACGAAACTTTTTTACATGATGGTAGATGTTATGGGCCTAGGACATAGAGGTGATGGAGCCGGAGATTCACCACCTCCAATAGGCTTTGGTCGCGGACCAACACGAACCGGATGGTAAGTCTTATTATGATATATTTATTAGCTATTTTTTATTAATTTATTATAAGCTATCGTGACTAATATTTTTAATTGTATTTTTTCAGCTGAGCTTCCTAAAAAAAGAAGGGGTCTATTAAAACAACATCCAGCTAGGAATGTTGATACAGGAAAACAAGGGAAAGCCGTGGATTTGGATTTCGACAGGGAGATCACATATTCCCCTGTCGGGAAGCATGATAATTGGTTCACCCATGATATTGGGAGATATATGTGGATGAACATTCCTTTCAGCATATCTGGTTGGGACAATATTTCCCCCGCTTTAAGGATGCAACAATCGTGCATCTAAAGGTAACTTGGATAATATTTTAAGTTTAGTTGTGATTGGTATTTAATTAACTAACTTTTTGTATTTGTAGAATAAGTTTGATTTGGATAAGGTTGACTTGGATCCCTAGCGTGCTCAGTTGTTGCGGAGCATTAATGCCACTCTTGTAAAATTTACAGAGGTCGGAAAAGTAAATCCCATACTTATTTTAAGGATATCGGGGAGGGGGGGGTGTAGATATCCCATTGTGTCGCACCCCCAAAACGGAACGGCGGAAAAGTTCGGCGGCGGAGGACTTCAGGTAAGTATCACAACACATGCAATATAGTAATCAAAGTACAAACAACCATTGCATTAATAAGTATAAGTTTTACATAAGTGTTTAAACATTACATATTCAAACACTAAAGTAGGTACGGTAGAAGACAAGAGTCGCGGTATGGTACTAGGTAGTCTTCTCAAAAGCTTCGGGAGTGTACCTGTTTACTGGATTCCTGAGAATACAAGTTATTTGGAAAGAGTATATCAACATTTAAGCTGGTGAGTTCATAAGTATTTTAGTTCTGTTAAGTATACCCTAAGTTCTTTGGATAAGTTCACTGGTTTCTCCAGGAAATCCTATATTTCCTGAGGTGATTAACTGATAACCTCAATAGTTTCCCTCTGTAATTACTTAGTTTATACTGATTATATATAACCCAATATTGAATGGACATTCAAATGGGTGTATCTGCCCTAAGCCCACAACCAAACAAGGAACAGGAAGTAAGGCGGAAGTCACACATTTCACTGTCAATCGGATATTACTTATGTACAACTCTGATGTAATAACTAAGGAATTATAGAATTTACCACTAAAGGTCTTTTATGTTATACTAGTTTACAAATATTGAATGACTAAGTTTCATTTGATAAGTGGTTTAATCCCATAAACCGTTTCCTTTGTATAAGTGATTTTTGTATTTGTATTCCTTTATGAAAGCTTGTAACTGAGAGTGTGCCTGGCTCCACCAGCTGTTATTGAAAACTGAATTGAACCATTGTATTTTGTATTCCTTAAACTGGTACTTTGAAGGTGTACTTTCGTTTAGTTGTTTATACACTAACGTATTGTTAATATCTTTTTAATGCGTTATTATAACCATACTATGACGGATGGCCTGAAACAAACGCTTTGTGGGCGTTTAAACTGGTGATAACAATTGCCACTCATCGGCGTGTATGCCTGACTGTAGCTAGCAGCCTGAGTGCGGGGTTGTCAATCCCGATATAGATCTACACACAACTTGTTTCGATCCCCGGCTGGAGATTCTAGTTATAATGTCAGGGCTTTTCATATGTTGTCTAAAATGAATTAAACAACCTGAACTTAGTGTCTCATAAAAAAGCATATAAACGTTACATGTGTATTATTTATGAAAAACCCAATCATTCTGAAATAAATGACTGACAGTATGTTCTTGAATCAAAACATAATCATTCTGAAATAAATGATTGACAATATGTTCTTGAATTAGAATTTCTAACATGTATTGGATAAGTGTAAATCCTTGATTTGTTCTGTATCAAAACCCTTGTTTCTTGTAAGACTGTGTATTCTAGTATACTTGAATCATGAATTATTGTTCTATGTATAAATTATACCTATTATAATTTATATGTACTTTCTGAATGTGTATTTAACCATGGTTGCATGTAATCCTTTGCTCAACATGTTACAAAGGTAGTTAAACTGATGAAATAACTATTATATTTATATACATATACAATTTTATATATAAGTAAAAATTTAAACGACACTCGGACAAATAACTGGTACTATAAGCCCACATCCAAACAAGGAAAATGACTCGTAATGAGTTATCAGTCTTAAGCCTTTTAAATCTTAGTTATATATATATATATATATATATATATTTATATATATATATATATATATATATATATATACAAACATGAATTTTGGGGAAAAATATAAGATGATAAAAGAGTTTAATGTTTTGAGTATTTTTAATGATTTAATGTTGTTTTATCATGATTTTATAACACAAAGTTCTTGTGTTATGCTTGTATTCCCCCCCCCCCTTAAAAACAGTAGAAATTATGAAATTATGGGGGTATGAACTCACTTTGATAAGCGGTGATTCGGGCAGCGTTTCGTTTCCCGGAAAGAGTTTATTTGACGAGAAACCGGCTCAAACCGGGCAGAGTTTCGACTGGAGAGAGGATAACTTCTCGAGAATTCTGGGGCTCCGGGGCTTGCTTCGGGCTTTAGATACGATACCGGGGACTTGGGGGGTCGTGAGAAAGTCGAGGGGGTGAAAATGTGAAATTTGGTAAATTTTGGGGTGAAAAATCCTTCAAATCCGAGAAGGCTCGTACCCTTTATATAGGGGTGCGAGGGTTCGGCCGAAGGAGCTTAGTCATCGGACATGTGGCGAGGAGATGGTCTCGGTTCGGACAGCTGGCTCAGCGGAGGCGAGTCAGTAGGACACGCGTCGGATGGGCGAAGAGTACACGGGGTGAAACTTCGGACGTGGCAGCTTCTGAGTGGACCGGACTTCGGTCCAATAGGAAGAAGGCACGATGCGAGGGGGGTGTCAGAGGAGCGTATGCGGTGTGTCTCCTGCGAGGGTGTCCGAAGATGACTGGACCGCGGAGTTGGTCGAATCAGAAGGTGCCACGCAAGGCTTCGGTCCAATCAGCAGCCGACACGTGCGAGGATGACGTGTCCGAAGGGTATGCATGCGAAATTGTCCGGTTTTCTATTTTTCTTGATTTTTGGGCCAAAAACTTGCGAAAATCATAACTTTCGCATACGAGCTTCGTTTTGGCGTTCTTTATATGCACGCGTAGGTAAAATCATACCCTACGACTTTCGTTTAGACTTCGTCGGCTAATTTTGACTTTATTTTTAATATTATTATTTTTAACAGACCGGGACAGGAAATCCGTTAAAAATTCATAACTTCTTCATCCGACGTCCGTTTTCGTCTGTCTTTTTACCGTTGTGCTACTTTTGACGAGACCTTCGATT